CCCCTTTCTGACCCTCTGAGGTAACAGGAATGTTCCTTTACTGTTGCGGTTGCCACTACCTGAACTGCTCTTTCCCAAGGTTTTCTCAGGTCTGCCTTTCAGATCCTGACCTCTAGGTCATCTCAAAAGAAGCCTTTCCTGAGGAAGACCATCTAAAGTAGTCCTCCCTTCCAACATAACATCCTATTATCTTCATAGTGCACAAATCTCTGACATTTTCCTTCTAGTTGTTTGGTTGTCAGCCTCCAAAAAAGGAAAAAAAAACCACTGACAATAGACTGACTGTTCATTGCTTTTTCATTGCCTCCAGCATCCAGAACAGTGCCTGGCAGGCAGGAAGTTAGGCACTCAGTAATTATTTGAATGAACCTAAATAATTTTTTTCCCCATTTGAAGATGTCTAGACTACTAACTTTATTTCAGGAGGCAGAAAATAGTGAGAATTAAGATTTGGCAAACTAGACCAGATCACAATACATCTGTATGTGATTTGGATCAGGTCAGTTACTTAGTCACATGGGAGTTTAAGCCCTCAAGCATTGCTGGAATGATTTGCCTTGAGCCCCCTGACTTGCCATCACAGTTATGTCTTATAGTGGAATTGACTGAGGGATTGATAAAACCAACAGTAATGCTAGATAGATAGTTTTTTGAGAATGTCATTCTGGTTAGAAACAAAAATCATTAGAATCAGTTGCTAAAAAAGACCATATAACTCTTCTAATAAGGAATGTTGACTCAAATATTCATGAAATAGGAATTATAACTGTTATTTCAGAGGGAGAAGCAGGCTGCAGGCAGAGGGAGCAGGCTCTCTGGGGACTCGATCCCAGGACCTTAGGATCATGACCTGAGCCAAAGGCAGCCGATTAACCGGCTGAGCCACCCAGATGTCCCGTTCCACCAGTTTTTAATTCACCTTATCTGGCTGTTTGTAGATTCAGTAATATCAAAGGTAAAATGTAATGTGTGTGCTGAATGTTAATCAAATGGTGTTTACCTTCTATTATAGCATGTCCTATTGCCTTTTTTTTTTTTTAAAGATTTTATTTATTTGACAGACAGCGAGAGAGGGGACACAAGCAGGGGGAGTGGGAGAGGGAGAAGCAGGCTTCCCGCGGAGCAGGGAGCCTGATGTGGGGCTCGATCCCAGGACACTGGGATCACGACCTGAGCCGAAGGCAGATGCCCAACGACTGAGCCACCCAGGCACCCCTCCTATTGCCTTTATATGTGGCATACTTTGAAATCTTTTGTAAATCAAAACCTGATTTTTTTTAAAAAAGATTTTATTTATTTGACAGAGAGAGATAGCGACAGCAGGAACACAAGCAGGGGGAGTGGGAGAGGGAGAAGCAGGCTTCCCGCCGAGCAGGGAACCCCATGTGGGGCTCGATCGCAGAACCCTGAGATCACGACCTGAGCCGAAGGCAGACACTTAACGACTGAGCCACCCAGGAGCCCCAAAACCTGATTTTTTTAAAGACAAGAATTCTATCTAAAAAGATTGTTAACACAATTATTAAAAAAGGGGTTCAGTGATCAAATGGCTTTTAAGGATTGAACTTTTAAGATTTTATTTGAGAGAGACAGTGTGCGAAAGTGGAGGGGAGTGGCAGAGGGAAAGGGAGAAACAGAATCCCTGCTGAGCAAGGAGCCCAAGGTGGGCTTGATCCCAGGACCCTGGGATCATGACCTGAGCTTAGGTCAGACACAACCAACTGAGCCATCTAGGCACCCCTAGGGATTGAACTTTTATTTTAAAAAGATTTTATTATTTGAGAGAGAGAGAGAGCACGAGTGCTCGAGCAAGGGGGGGAGGGGCAGAGGGAGAGAGAGAATCTTAGGCAGATGCCTTGCTGAGCGCCAGGGCCCGACACGGCTCAATCTCACGACCCTGAATTGAAATCAAGAGCCAGATGTTTAACCAAGTGAGCCATCCAGGCCCCCCAGTATTGAACTTTTAGATTTTTTTTTGAGGTAAAATTCACATACTATAGAACATATTTTAACCATTTTAAAGTGTACAATACAGTGCCTTTTAGTATTTTCACAGTATAATTAATCACCACTAATTCCAGAAATTTTCATCACCCTGAAAGAAGTCTTGTACTCTTTAAGCAATTAACTCTCCAGGCAACCACTAATCTGCTTTGTCTCTATGGATTTGCCTGTTCTGGACATTTCATATAAACAGAATCATACAGTATGTGACCTTTTGTATGTGGTTTCATTATCATGTTTTCAAGGTTCATCCATGTTGTAGCATCTATCAGTTTTCCATTACTTTTTATTATTATTTTTTAAGTAGGCTCCATGTCCAATGTGGGGCTTGAACTCAGGATTCTGAGATCAAGAGTCTACATGCTCCAGTGACTGAGCCAACCAGGGGTCTCATGCTTCATTACTTTTTATGGCCAAATAGTATTCTACTGCATGGATATACCACATTTTACTCACCCATTCATCAGTTGATGGACATTTGGCCTATTTCTACTATTTGGCCATCATGAATAATGCTATGAACAGTTGTGTACAAGTATTTGAGTACATGTTTTCAATTCTCTTGGAAATTATATATAATTATATTATGAATTGCCAGGTCATAGGTAACTGTTTAACTTTTCTGACAACTGCCAAATGTTTTGTAGATTAGCTGCGCCACTTTTCATTCCCATCAGAAATGTATGAGGGCTCCAGTTTCTCCACATTTTTTAATTCTAGCTATCCTAGTGGGTATGAATTGGTATCTCATAGTGTTTTTTTTTAAGAATTTGTCAGAGAGCGAGCAAGCGAGCAAGCATGGGGGTGGGGGCAGAGGGGGAAGCAGGTTCCGAGCTGAACAAAGAGCCTGATGTGGGACCCGGTCCCAGGACCCTGGGATCATGACCTGAGCCAAAGGCAGATGCTTAACCGACTGAGCCATCCATGTGTCCCTCATAGTAGTTTTGATTTGTATTTCCCTAATGACTAATAAAGTTGAGCATCTTTTCATATCATTGTTGGCCATTTTGTGGAGAAATGTCTATTTAAAGTTCTTTGCCCATTTTTTAAATTAGGTTAGCTTTCTGTTGAGTTTTAGAGTTCTTTAAATACTCTGGATACCAGAGCCTTATCAGATATATGATTTGCAAGTATTCTCTCTCATTTGGTGAACTTTTTACCTTAATAGTAAAAAGTAGTAAAAACAGTAAAAAAAACAAAAAACCCCAAAACAACAACAAAAAAAACCTTTGATGCACGAAAGTTTTTAATTTTGATGAGCCAATTTATCTATTTTTTCTTTTGTTGGTTGGGCTTCTTGTATCATCCTTATGAAACTCTCGTTTAATCCAAGGTTACAAAGATGTCCTATGTTTTCTTCTATGAGTTTAATAATTTTAACTATGTTTAGGTCTTTGATGTGTTTTGAATCTTTGTATATGCTATTTATAGTCCTACACTTCATTCTTTTGCATGTGGTTGGCTAATTGTCCCAGCACCATTTGTTGAAAAACCTCTTTCCCCATCGATGAGTGACAGTCTTGTGTCTTTCCTGGTTCATGATGAAAACAAAAATAACCAAATAGTTGTTTTAGAAAATAAAAATACAACAACCAAAATTAAAAACTCAATGGATGAGTTAAACAGTTGAAGAAAGAAGTCGTTAATTGGAAAGGAAGTCAAAATAAATTATTCAGAACTGAAGAAAAATTTAAGAATAGCAAATCCTAAAAAAATAAAGATTTTTATACCTAGGCCCATCCTAGCTAATACGGATAAAACAAGATTAGCCCTAAGATAATAACTATTGAAGGTATGTGATGGATTCATTCATGGAATTCATTACACTGTTGTCTAATTTTGTATATGTCTAAAATTTGCATGATAAAGTATTTCAAAAAAGGGTGAAATAAAAGGTTTTTTGTTTTTCTGACAGAAACCCAGTTTTTGATGGAGGTGATAAACCCCCCAAGAAACAGCTCTAATTGTTTAAGTTATTACTCTTTCACAGTCTTTGGGCCCTTTTGCATGTTCTTTCTAGGGCCAGAGAACCATAGCCTCACACTGGTATCATTCTGGAATGACGGAGGTAAAATATTAGAAGAATCTGCATTTCAGGACGCCTGGGGGTTCAGCTGGTTAAGCATCTGCTTTTGGCTCAGCTCATGATCCCAGGGTCCTGGGATAGAGTCCTGCACAGGGCTCCCTGCTCGGCGGGGAGCCTGCTTTTCCCTCTGCCTGCCACTCCCCCTGCTTGTGCTCTGTCTCTCCCACTCTGACAAATACATAAATAAAACCTTTATTTATTTATTTATTTTTAAAGATTTTATTTATTTATTTGAGACAGAGAGAATGAGAGACAGCATGAGAGGGAGGAGGGTCAGAGGGAGAAGCAGACTCCCTGCCGAGCAGGGAGCCCGATGCGGGACTCGATCCCGGGACTCCAGGATCATGACCTGAGCCGAAGGCAGTCGCTTAACCAACTGAGCCACCCAGGCGCCCAATAAAACCTTTAAAAAAAAAAATCTACATTTCTCTGTTCTGTAGATAGGTATAGAACATGTTCTTACTATACTATTATAATATTTAAGTAAACCACCAAGGGCCAGGGACCATACTTACAGAAGTCTGTAACTGTTGCATTATTTCATCATTCCAATTATATGAAATGGTGATGGGGCAAAGTGGCAACCCAGAACCATGGTTTGGTTTCAAAGAACCATAGGTAGAAGTCAGATTTGTCATTTTTAGGGGCAACTGACAGGCCGGCTTTGAAATTCAGGATTTTTGAATCTAATAAACTCCTGGGTGAGATACAAAGAACACAACAGTAAGCTCACATTAAAGTTTATTTTTTTAATTTTTTAAATTTAAGTAAACTCTGTGCCCGATGAGGGGCTTGAACTTACAACCCCAAGATCAAGAGCTGCATGCTCTACCAACTGAGCCAGCCAGGCTCCCCAAGCTCCTATCAAAGTTTAGAACCAAAAATGTTAATATGTTAATGAGGAAAGAAATGATAGCAGAGTTCCTTTATTCCAGAAATAGTTTAATACAATCATAGTACAGTTATGAGTCACATTCAATCCACTGAATATATTCAAGGTATTAATAAAAATATTATACATCTTTACTCACTATCTTAATATAATTAAAGTATTTGGTTCTTATAGATGAGACTATTTGCCATATTCATTCATATTTGCACTGCTAATCAAACAGCATGTAAATAAATCCATGGATTATGGTAGTGGGGCTTTTAGTCCTTTCGGATCTGAAGTCTCTTAAAGTATCAAAATTGAATATATTTTTTTAAAATGCCACAATACTTGAATCCTAGAAAGAACAGTCAACCAATTTAAGGCAAGATATTGAAACTTTTATACAACTTTAATTTGAAAAGATAAAAGAATACTTTATCAAAGATCATACATGCCTTAACAGTTAGCTACCTATAGTTTTTTATAAAGGCAGTAATAAAAATGTCAGTGCAAGTTCTACATTGGGTTCCTCAGTAGAGAAAATAATAGGTTCTTGGAGTAGACAATTATTTTCAAATCCCAAAACACTGCAAGAAGAAAGAATTCTGGTGCAGGACTTATATGTAGCATAATTATTTTTATTCGGTAAAGACAGGTATAAAACATTGTGATTATACATAAAAATTAGTGTCTTGGCCAGTTTGTTTAAACCTTTGCTTCAGATGTACTTTATTGCAAGCTTTTAAAAAAATGTTTAAAAAAAACTGACTTAAAATCTACTTAAAGTAGTAGTGCAAAGAGGCGCCTCTGTCCTTTTTTTTTTTTTTTTTTGGTAAGGGCTGAAGATTAGCGTTTTACAAAGAAATAACTTATATTAAAATATATGCAAAATATGTGTATATTTTTAATGACCAAAGAAGGCACAAAATGAGTTAAATTAAGAAAAACATTACCACTTGTCCTGAACTCTGGTTAACTGTACAGTATTAATCATAATATACATTTTTAGATAAGAAATCCAGATTTCTTGTAATTGAAAAGTGACATCCCATTTTCTAGTTCTGTTATTTGTGCTAAAAGACACTGCTGTAACAGACTGCAAATAGGCAGTACATACTGCATCCCATTAACAATGACCTTTTACCAAGACAGGTTTGGGGTTTTTTTGTTTTTGTTTTTTTTTTTTTACAGTGGCTAAGTGACAATTCATGGAATGGAATTAGGTCTCAAAAGCTTAAGTGAAAATATCTAACACTTCTTTATATCTGCAAAAGTACTTACACACTTTAAGGAAATGTTAACTGGATGTGGAAAAAGTAAATAAATGGTGGTGCTTTGATTTGCATTTTAATTAAATTATTAAATATACATTTGAACATTAAAAAAAAAAAAAGACATTCATATATCATACTAACGGGCTTTCCTACAAATGGACCATTAGTGTTAGGCACCAAAAATTTCAAGTGGTTTTTTTTTTTTCTAAACCTATCTCACTGATACATCCTCAACTGTTCTATTTCTGCTCTACAGGTTTCCCATTTACATTGAACATCTGCACAGTTCATAAAAATTATGTTACGGGCGACTGAATTGGAGATTGTCCTTTATTGGTATTCTTTGCATATTTTGTCAGTTCTCTCACAGCAACTAGATTACTACAATCTCTATTACCATTTAAAAAGTGTCTGAAATTCCATTCTAGCCATGAGAATTAATATATCAACATATTTATTCAACTAAACACAAAATTATGTGTGCAGTTGAATGAATAATAAAAATGAATTTTATCCTTAATGGTTACTGCAGAATAATTTCAATCATGTCCCTTATGATTCTGAATCCCGCTGTATTAAGGAAAGTAATTCATGTGAATGTATAATGTTTACAAATATAAGTAAGACACCTTACAAGACCAACTTTGCTATAAAAGTCTACATTAATATTCAGTCTGGACCCTAGAATTCTTGTCCTGGGCCTCCTGTGAAGAGTCTGCCCTATTCATGGAGTTCTACCAAACAGGAATGGGTACATGAGTGAACAATTTTCACTTGCTTAATGAGTAAGTGGAGTATAGATACATGGAGGTGGATTACTGAAGTTTAATTCACACTCCTGGGAGTAAATGTAGGATTATAATGGAATGATGGCATTTAGTATAGAGTTACATCGATGAATCTCATTCAATTATGGGGCAACAAAAACATAAATGTCTAAGTCACATGAGAAGTAGAAAAAAAATCATATTTCTGTGGGAAAAACATTAGTAAATGTACATAATTCTTTAGTAAGTTGAAAGTGAGTGAAAACTCCTTACTAATTATTTATCAAGTCAGGAAAAAATCAGAATGAAGTGCCAGGGAAGCATATGAAGTTAAGGCACCAGTATTTACAACTTCAGTGATTGGCACTTATTCTGAAAAGGTTTTAAAGACATGGGTGATAAAAAGCAGTATTATTTTCCCCTACTTCTATAAACTACGTAGTAGTTCTGAACATAACTATTATTTGTGCTTTGCTCTCGGCCCTGTGAATAGCAGCTGTTATTTTCTGGTAACATCCTGCACCTTTCCTTTCCTTTGGTGTTTGTGAACACACACTGTGGTAAAGGCTATAAAAGGTGCAAAACAGGAAAACATGCTGTGTCTGTGTAAGAAACAATGCAAAATAGATGGCTGAATTGACATTGTACTATCAGACCAAACTAAAGCTATTATTCTGAATTACTCAAGAAAGGATTAAATCCTTCACCAACTCAAAGTCTTTTTCAGGACTTATTATATATTAAGTTTAGGGTTTATAGCATTCTATATGACTTTAAAACAGCAATGGCTTCAACAAGTTCATAAAAGTTAATTATGTGACTGTTGGTCCAACAGATGTATTGAAATGCATTAAGTACATTTACTTTATAATTTCTGTCCAAGTATAAAAATATTATACAAAGTTCCGAAGTGTGTATGTGTGTATACATGTTTATAACTGTCCTTGCTTTCAAAGCTCAGAAATTCACCAGCTTACAAATAGGTTGCTGCAGTCAGCTGATACCACTTAACTGTCTCTTTGCTCAAGTTGAAATCTTTTAAAGGCAGGGTCACTCCACCCAGGAAAAAATTCTCCCGCAGAGACTCTGCACTGAGGACACTGAGTTGAAGTTCTCTCTGTCTTAGAGTTTCCTTGCTATATCCACTGTACACAAGCTACAGCAAAGGTAAAAAGAAAACAGTAAGTTACAAATTTTTTGTTTGTTTGGTTTCTTGGATTATTTTAAGTAAAAACAGAAGTGAGATCAGTAGTTAAAGAGATAATGACATTAATTATGCCACATCTGGTAGAATCTGCCTCATACTTTAGATGCACATTTTGTATTTCAGGAGCCTTGGATTTTATTATCATCCTTCTGACTGTCTGACATAGAAATGCACAGAGTAGAAAATTATTATTGGCTAAAAACTGAAAACAAGGATTTTCTGAGATGGAAGTATGGGGAAGGGAAAAGCAATTACAAGGCGGCATGCCTTGAGATGATCTGATGACCTGGAAAAGAGAATGGAAAGAAGCAAGTGGGGATAAACATAACTATTTTACAAAATATGAGGGATTAGAATTTCTTTTTGTTGTCTTTTTTTCTGTTAAGATTTTATATACCATGAAATAATTTCTGATTATCCGTACTTTAAAGCAAACTCACCAACTACCGATACGGTTTATAGCCAATCTGGAATGCTAAAAAGCTCTCTGACACACCACATTCAACACTTAGAATTTTTTTCCCAACAAGGTCTCATCATAACTTCTGAGAAACATCTCTTTTTAGTCCTTCTCACTGTTTGACTAATAAAAACTAAAAACAGACTACATTTTATTTCTTGGAAGTACAACGCTACTAACTAGGAAAAAAGCCAATACTACTTTTTGAGAATAACACCAAGTTGTCTTCACCAAACATTGTATATGCTTTTCAGAAGCTAAAAGGCTATTTCTGCGATTTTAACAAACTTATAACCCTGATGAAAATCCACATTTATTTTCTTCCAAATCTCTATCCAGACATTTTTGTGTGGATGTAATGTTAATGTACACAAATAATATGGTGTTTATCCTAAAAAAGTAGTTGACTAAGGGTTAGCAGGTTTTAATAGATGAGTAAGTTTGTAAGTTGACCATGAGTAGCTCAGGAAAGTCACAGTTCTGCTCCATTCTGTTCAGCTAATGCTTTGCTTACTGCTTTTAGTTTAGAGCACCCTATCTGAAGTGGATTGCTGACAGATTAAAATGAATTAGAAGGAGGATTATTTTGAAACTACATCCTATCAAACAAAGGTAAAGGTAGTGAAGATGTTTTAAAAGGATAACAGGAAGGGCTTTTGAGAACTTCAGCTATCTGAAGGGCTGCTACACAGGAGAAAAAGAGTAAATTCTGTGTGGTTCCAAGCAGTACAACTGAGACCCACAGGTGCAAACTACAGGCAGTGAAGATTTAAGCCCAGTATAAAAAAAAAATGTTAAGAGCTGGAACTGCTCAAGACAAAGTGGGTGGACTGGAAGTATTTCAGCACAGACTGGACATCTACTTTTTGAAAATGTTGTAGAGGGGGTTCAAACACTGGAAAGGTGGTTGAAGATAACCCCTAGGATCTTTTTAAAACCTAACGGTCAATGACGGCAGGTTTAATTCCACAACATTTTGATAAATCATCACTGGATTGCTATTGATTGGCTTTACTAGTACAATAAATAGTTCTGCAACTGGTACCTAAAAATTTTAAATTTAGGGCGCCTGGGTGGCTCAGTTGGTTAAGCGACTGCCTTCAGCTCAGGTCATGATCCCAGGGTCCTGGGATCGAGTCCCGCATCGGGCTCCC